CCAGGCCGGGCGCGCGCGGCAGGGAAACGGGATTATTTTTACCCCCGACTCGGGGGAGACCGAGCCCGAGCCCCGCCCCGCGGCCGGGAACCCCTCGCCGCCCCCGCGGGACACGAGCTACGTGCGCGGGGTTCGGACCCGGCCCCCCCGCGAGCCGAGCCTCCCCCTCACCTGCTCGCGCCGCCAGCTCCGGGCGGGGCACACTCGCTCGCGCTCTGGCCGCGACCCCCCCCGCCCAGTTTCTTCTATACCCCGAGGGGGCGGAGCGATCCTGCCCCCTCAGCCAATCAGCGCAGCCGCCGTGCACGCTCACGCGCCGCCTTGTGCGCCTGCGCAGGGCGGCTCAGCCTCACCCGGCTGGGCACCCCCTGCTGCCCAGACCTGGGCTCTGCAGGGACAACGCGTCTCCTGCGGGCAGCGCCGCGGGGCGGGGCAGGTTCCCCCGGGGGAGGGGTCTGCACGGCCAACAGGCCCCGCCCTAGTCCGGCCCCTATCTCCCAACCCCTCTCTCTTGCCCCCAGCCTTGCCCTCATTGGGCTTCAGAGTTAACGCCGAGGAGGCAGCAGAACCAGGCTGCCAACAAACTCAAGCACTTCCTCACCTCACAAAGTTAAGGGCTAGAAAGTGAATGCTGGGGCGGGGGGGGGAATGTTGCATAAGCTGACGGGGCCTGGCAGGGCAGCGCAAGGACCAAGGGCACCCTCCTGGCTCACACCAGCCCCTCCCCCTGCATTCTGGCAGCAGGGACAGCTCTCCCCTGACCGCTGTACCTTCCTTGCCACTTTATCACCCCTTTCCCACATCCAGGGCAAGATGCAGCTTCAAGCCCTAAACAGTTCTGCCCCCAATCTCAGGTCCTCTCCCTATGCCCCCCTTGAGCCCCACATTCTGTCCCCTCCTTTCCCTCCTAGAACAGCCTCTCTCTTCCTATGCCCCGCCCCTTCCTTTCACTCCCTGCTTGAGCAAGGGCTGGGCAGAGTTTGCCAATAAGACATTCTCTTGGGGAAATGGCCATTTCTCAAAAGCACGTGTTTTTGCCAAAAAATGTTGATATTTTTAATTTTTGCAAAGAGAAAAAAAGACAAATGTATCGAACCATGACATATTTTCCATTTACTGGAAAACACTGTCTGAAGGCAAAATATTTCACTACATGTAATATAAATAATTCACCCATCATTTCAAAGAGTCGCTTCCTTTCGAATCTTTCAAAATGGAGCAACTTGGAAATTTCAAAGTTTCTTGCAAAACTAAGTTTTCGTTTTCCAATTAACGCTGCTCAGCCACGTCCCAGCACTGGCCCCAGGCTCCCCCTCACACCATCTTGCCCCAAACTAACCGGTGCCTCAAAGGGGGAGGGGGTTACAAGAAGTAGCAGGTCCAGCAAAAACAAAGGAAGGACGAAATCCCCCCTGGAGCCGGGTCTCTGGGGGCACATGGTGAGCACTGAGTGTTTGACCAAAGCTGCTGCGGCAGATGCGGAGAGACCCACCCACCACTTTGCAGTGCAGACCCCATTACGCACTGCTAATAACTCATCTAATTCTTGTCATTAACCCCCCCCACCCCCCGAGGCATCGCCCTTCCCCTTCCCCACAAGCTGCATCTATCTTCATGGCCTGGCACCGGCAGATACCTTCTTCGCCTAGCAAGTGCCATGCAGCGCCACACCTCTGTAGGCCTGGTCGCGCCTCCGAGCCCGCTTGGCATGCAGCCCCAGGGCACCATGCAGCGGATGCTCTCTTCATGCAGGCAAAGTGCTGTTCTCTCTTCTCTATACAGACGAGCCGGTGATTGGCATGCAGCCCCGGGGCACCATGCAGCGGATGCTCTCTTCATGCAGGCAAAGTGCTGTTCTCTCTTCTCTATACAGCCGAGCCCGCTTGGCATGCAGCCCCGGGGCACCATGCAGCGGATGCTCTCTTCATGCAGGCAAAGTGCTGTTCTCTCTTCTCTATACAGCCGAGCCGGTGATTGGCATGCGCCCCGGGCGCCCACAGATATGCTCAAACCTTTTGCATTTCTTAAGCCTAAAGGTGATCAACCAAAAATGTGCATCTGGAAATCTGGTCCTGAACAAGGGCTCTCCACTAGCACTTCAGTGCCCAAAGGGCTGGGTGTTGGCGTGATTATCACTTAGGCACGACATACATTCGTGGAGTAAATCCAAAGACCAACTGGTATTTATACACATGCCTCCAAGCCTCTATCCCAAGCAATTGACGACAGCCCGTCAGTAACAAAACATTGCCAAGCGTTTGATGAAGCTCCTTACAAAAGGGCTAATGCTGGGCAGTTGGTTGGGCTGGTCTCAGGAGCGACCTTCCTTCCAAGTTTACTCTTTGATACCCTGTAAGAAGCCAGTGATGTTGGTACCATTTGCCAGCCCTGCTGGAGGAGTTTCCTTGACAGCCAAAGGTTTGCTGCCCTGTGGCCAGTTACTTTAGCCCAGTGCTCACCTAGGAGCACGTCATTCTGAAGGGTCACGCCAAGCTTAGCACCAGAACTCGGCTGTCTCCTGGTTTCACTCTCTTTGGTTCCATGCTCTGGCCCTATTGTTCATGCTAATCTCCGGACTCCATTTAAAGCCAGGGGTCACCCCGACCTAACAGGGGCCTGTGTTCCCACGCTGGGAAAGGTGATGCCTGCTCTCGTAACCCAGGGCCAGGAGCAAGACCTCACAAGTAGTGCTGTGCATTAGCTCCATGGCAGAGGAGGGAAACTAAGGCCGGCCACATGGGGCTGAGGTGTCGAGAGGCACGTGGAGGACTTGCAGTGCAGTTGTGCCAGCTGCGTGGCTGAAGGTTGCCTGCACGCGCTGCCTGTTGCACACGCAGGATCACAGTCATTGCACACGCACCCAGGAACTCCACAGCCTAATCTGAAAAGCTGCTCTCACCTTTTTAAACCCAACATCCTTACACAAGCCCGTGCTCCCCTGCAGCCCTGGCCAGCCACGCCAGCACCCTCAGCTCATCGTGGGGCCCACCTGATAAGCCGCAATCACAGCAGCAGCCGTGGGAAGGCCCCAGCTGTGCACATGCCTGTTCTGAGTGACTGTGTGGTCTTGTTTCTGTGCTCCAGTCCCAGGCCTCTCCCCCTGTTCACCACCTGGTGTCCTGGGGCAGCTCCGTGGGGAGCCAGGTGGAACCACTGAGGTTTCAGACCCCGACGCTGGCTGCTCTGAACGGACAGAGTCCCCCACACCTGCGCCCCTGCTGAGGAGAGGGGGCTTGTACCATGTGCCCAACACCTGCCTGCCAGGAGCCCCCGCAGCTGGCGAGAGAAGCCCTGGAGCCAGAGCCCAGCCTGGCTGCCCCCAGGCTAAGAACCCCACAAGCTGGGGAGCTGGGGCTTTGCTGGGGGCCGCTGGGGAAGGAGCATTTGCTGCTGGCGGCGGCGCGGCCCATGAAGTCCTGTGCTGAGCTGCCAGAACCTGCTGCCTTTAGCAGCTTCCCATGCAGCAGGGCAACTGCAGAGCTCCTGCCTCCCAGCAGCTGACGCCCCTGCACCAGGTGTGGGGGGCAGCGAGGCCTAGCCTGTGCGGCAGGGATCCGCGCGGCTCCTGGAAAGCAGCCGGCATGTCTCCGCTCCGGCTCCTACATGTAGGGGCAGCCAGGGGGCTCCGCATGCTGCTCCCGCCCCAAGCGCCGCCCCCGCAGCTCCCATTGGCCGGGAACTACAGCCAGTGGGAACTGCGGGGGCGGCGCCTGCGGACAGTGAAGCACACAGCAGAGCCACCTGGCCGCACCTCCGCATAGGAGCTGGAGGGGGGACATGCTGCTGCTTCCGGGAGCTGCTTGAGGTAGGCGCTCCCCTCCACCCATGCCCTAACCCCCTTCCCCAGCCCGGAGCCCCCTCCCACACTCCGAACCCTCAGTCCCAGGCCGGAGCAACCTTCTGCACCCCAAACCCCTCATTCCCAGCCCCACCCCAGAGTCTACACCCCCAGCCAGAGCCCTCACCCCCCCCACACCCCAACCACCTGCCCCAGCACAGAGCCCCTCCTGCGCTCCGAACCCTCAGTCCCAGCCCAGAGCACCCTCCTGCACCCCAAATCCCTCATCCCCAGCCCATCAGAGCCCGCACCCCCAGCCTGAGCCCTCAACCCCCCCTGCACCCCAACCCCCTGCCCCAGCCCAGAGCCCCCTCCTGCATCCTGAACCGCTCATTCCCGCACCCCCATGTGGAGCCCTCACTGCCCTCCCGCACCCCAGCCCCCTGCCCCAGCCCAGTGAAAACGACTGGGGGGGGAGCGAACGACAGAGGGAGGGGGATGGAGGGAGCAGGGGCGGGGCCTTGGAGGAGGGGAGGGGCAGGGGTGTTCGGATTTGTTTGAGTAGAAAGTTGGCACCCCTAGGGCAGGCCGCAGGAAGGCACGTGTCCGGCCCTGCCCAGCCCTTCGGGGCTCAGCTGGTCAGGAGTCAGAATTTCCATTCTGGGGGGAGCAGGAAGCCTCATTGTGCCAGCCCCCGGGGTTGGCCCTGGAGCTGCAGACCCTGGGCGACCAGGCTCCCCGGCCCTGCAGCCCTCCAGGAGCGGGGGCAGGACGATCCCCTGTGGGAGTCTGGTCTGTGGGGCGCAGGGAGTTTGACAAACCCGATACACTGCCGCTAAGTATTTGGTGTTCAACGGATCAGCCGTTCACCAAGAAACCCCCTTTTGCTCCCCTCACTAGCTAATCCCCTAGGCAGAGAGTAAATGCCCACCCCCAGGGCACAGCACCAGGCCCTGCCCCAGACACCGGACCCGCCTGGCTGCCCCTGGC